TGCTTAGTAATTTGTGCCGTTATTTCGTGTCTGGCAAGTTATTGTCCAAGAAAAAAAATGTCAATTTTTATTTAAATGTCCTATTATTTTATGTTACTGGTTTGTTTTATGATTACTGGTTTATTTTAGCCCTTTGCATTCAGCATGTCTCTATCGAAATAAACCTATGTTCCTATGAAAATTAAAGCTCCTGTGTTTTGTGGCCCACACACACACTAAAACCTTGTTGATTTGGCCCCCGTTGTTGGCCTTTGAGTTTGACCCGCTTGCTGTAGGTGGTTAAGTTTATAGATATGTGGATTCAAAAGGCAGTCAACCTCAGATCTGGAACATCTAGAGCAATTTGCATCTCAACCCAGAAAAATGTCCCGTTGTTGACCCATACTTCAGTGTTTGACCTGACAACCCCTTCCAGCTGACATCTCAGCATGACAAAAACCATCTCTCAGACAACAAACAAAGGAGAGAGAATACTTTTGCTGCTGGGAAATCCGCCATTACCACATTTTCAAAAGATAAAGAGGCCATTAAGCGTGCTGAAGTCATTAAGGGTGTGAAAGTCCAACACCTTAATCCTGCATTGAATAGATAGAAACCCTGTTGTTGATTGGATAAAGGAAAGCCCTTAGGGCTAGTAGGGTGTGGGTCGACACATTTAAGAAAAGAAGTGTTTATGTACACAAAGGTTAATACCTTTTTGTCAGTTGGCAGTCTGTTTACATAATTTCTAATGGGGGCGGGCAGGGAATGATTGGGTATTCAAACAAATTGCTTCCCAAACAGCCTTCTAGAACTAATTACAATTGAGAAAGGAGGTTCTATTACACAGACTTTGCGACACAAAGTAATATGTCAATTGACCCTTGACTTACTGTTTATTTATACAGGATTTTAAAAAAAACTATATCTTATTTATTTTTTACAGTGAGAAAGGGAGAGAGATAGAGACCTCGATGAGAGAGAATCATTGATGCGCTGCCTCCTACACGCCCCCTATTGGTGATGTGCCTGCAACCAAGGTACATGCCCTTGAGAGGAATCGAACTGGGACCCTTCAGTCCTCTAGCCGATGCACTATCCACTGAGCCAAACCGGTTTGGGCTACATGATTCTTTTTAACAATTAATTTTACAGAGAGAAAGGGAGAGAGAGAGAGAGAAACATTGAAACATAGATCCCTTGCCTTCGAAATGCACAGTGACTGGGGATGGAACCCAAAACCTGGGTCTGTGTCCTCATTCAAACCCAACCTGCCCCATTTTGGTGTCAAGTCCAAGGCTCCAATCAACTGAGCTATACCTTCCAGGTAACTTATTATTCCTTTCATTGAAAAAAAAAAAAAAGACTTTCAATTAGAGTTGACATCCAGTACTATAATATATTACTTTCAGGTGTACAACATAACGATTAGACATTTATATAACTTGAAAAGTGATTCCCCTGGATATGTGTAGAGGCCACCTGGCACCATGCAGAGCTATTATTATGTTCCTGAGTGTATTCCCCATGCTGTGCTTTCCATCCCATGACTATTTCACACCTGTCAACTAGTACATCTCCATCTCTTCACGTGGGGGACCCCTCCACGCCAATCCCTCCCATCTGATGACCATCCATTTGTCCTCTGTGTCTGTGAGTCACTTTCTGCTCTCCCACCCTTCCCCCACCCCAGATTTAACATATAAGTGAAATTATATGGTGTCTGTCCTTTTCTGTTTGACTTATGTCACTTATTAGCATAATATTCTCTAGTTCCATCCATGTTGTTGCAAACAGTAAGATTTCATTTTCTTAGCTGTTGTTGTTCATCTAAACCTAGGATATTTTTTTTTCATTGATTTTTAGAGATAATGAAAGGGAGGGAAGCTTGTTGCCTCTCACTCCCACACCAATGGGATGGAGAATCAAACCTGAAACCTACGTAGTGCCTTTGATCTGGATTCAAACCCCACATCCTTCCGGCTCACTGACCAGAGCACGATTTCCTTTATATATAATTGAATTTTTACAGAGAGGAAGAGAGGGATAGAGAGTTAGAAACATCAATGAGAGAGAATTATTGATCAGCTGCCTCTTGTGCACCCCCTACTGGGGATGTGCCCACAACCAAGGTGCATGACCTTGACTGGTATCGAACCTGGGACCTTTCAGTCCATAGGCTGACGCTCTATCTACTGAGCCAAACCGGTTTTGGCAATTTCCTTTCTTTTTATGGCCCAGTAATATTCCACTGTTTATGTGTGCCACACCTTCTTTATCTATTCGCCTTTCTAGTGGAGTGATTAATTCAAAGTCATCATTGTTGCCCTAGTTGGTTTGGGTCAATGGACAGAGTGCCAGTCTGTGGAATGAAGGGTCCAAAGTTCAATTCTTGCTTAGGGCACATGCCTGGGTTGAAGGCATGGTCCCTAGTAGGGGCTGTGCACTAGGCAGGCAATCAGCGATTCTCTCTTAAATCAATTTAAAAAATATTTAAAACTTAATAATAAATAAAGTCATCAGTGTTAGCCCTAGCTGGTTTGGGTCAGAGGAGAGAGCAAGGACAGAAGGGTCCCCGGTTAGATTCTGGTCACCTACCTGGATTGTAGGCTTTATTCCTGGGCCTAGTTGGGGTGCATGTGGGATGCAACCAATTGCAGTGTCTTTCTCACATTGTTGTTACTCTCTGTCCCTAAAAATTAATGGAGAAATATCCTGGGATGAGGATTAATTATATATATATATATATATATATATATATATCTCCAATGCACAAAATTTATCCCTGGGCTGGGATGTGTCCCTCAGCCCAGCCTGCACCCTCTTCAATCTGGGACCCTTTGAGGGATGTTCAGCTGCCCGTGGGATCGGGACTAAACGGGCAATCGAACATCCCTCTCACAATCCAGGAATGCTAGCTCCCAACTGCTCGCCTGTTTGCCTTCCTGATTGCCTCTAACCGCTTCTGCCTGCCAGCCTGATCACTCCCTAACCACTCCCTGACAGCCTGATTGATGTCTAACTGCTCCCCTGCCAGCCTGTTTGCCCCTCACTGCCCTCCCCTACAGGGTTGATTGCCTCCAACTGCCCTCCCTTGCAGGCCTGTTCCTCCCAACTGCCCTCCCCTGCTGGCCATCTTGTGGTGGCCATCTTGTGTCCACATAGAGGCAAGATCTTTGACCCCATGGGGGACAGCCATCTTGTGTGTTGGAGTGATGGTCAATCTGCATAATACTCTTTTATTAGATAGGATAGAGGCCTGGTGCATGGGTGGGGGCCAGCTGGTTTGCCCTGAAGGGCATCTCAAATCAGGGTGGGGGGTTCCCTTGGGGCATGGGGCAGCCTGAACGAGAGGGCCTGAGGTGGTACGTAGGCCAGCCATACCTCCTGGTGACCCAAGCAGAGGCCCTGGTATCTGGAATTTATTTACCTTCTACAATTAAAACTGGAGGGGAGCCAAGCCTCCTGCTTACTCCGTGGCCTGCAGACATTTCTGTTGGAATTTATGTATCTTCTATAATTGAAACTTTGTCGCCTGGAATGGAGGCCTGGGCCAGCCAGGGTGTGTGGAAAGCTTTGCTTCCTCCATTCAGGGGCAACCCTAGCCTCTCGCTCTTTCCAGATCTATGGCTGCCACCATTTGTTTGGATTTCTTTACCTTCTATAATTGAAACTTTGTAGCCTTGAGTAGAGGCTTAGGCCGGCAAGGGCAGGCAGAAAGCTTGGCTTCCTCCATTGCTTGGGAAACGCAAGCCTTCCTTCTGCTCTCTGTGGCTGTGGCCATCTTGGTTGGGTTTATTTGCATATTTGCTCCTGATTGGCTGGTGGGTGTAGCTTGTGGGTATAGCAGAGTGATGGTAATTTGTATTACTCTTTTACTAGGCAGGATTCCTTTAAAAAATATAAAAGTCATTGGTATTCATGTAATTCCTGGTGTCATTTTTTCTGGTTTTTTTTTTTTTATTTTTTTATCTTCTCCCCTTCCTTTTTTATTCTACTGCTCTATTTTCTGTATCTCTTCTAGAGTTTTGACTTGTGGCTTCACTTATGACACCTCCCTATGAATTGACAGTTCTCTCTCACGGATGTATTAGTGTCCAGTTTGCAACCAGAAGAGTAGACACAATGAACACGACTTCTACAAACTTGTATGTCTATCTGAAAGTGAAGCTCACGAAAGTCATTTGTAATTTTTAATATATTTATTATGTTGCAGCATCAGTTTTCCACTGATAAAAAAAGACCAAGGCATAATATAACACCAGGCAATGATTCATATGGAAATAAAATACATTACAATCAATAAATTCTACCAATGGAAAATACAAATGGGACAAAGGTTTGTAAGATGTTCATTGCCTAGAAATAAGGACAATTCAAATATGTTATAAAAAATTAATAATAAAAATACAGCAATTCAAATGTGTTACAAAAATTAATAATAAAAATACAGCAATTCAAATGTGTTACAAAAAATTAATAATAAAAATACAGATACGTTATGAGCTGAGTCTTCCTGGTGTCCAATTATGCCATGAGAAGGGGGTCCATTCTGCAAGTGCAGGGAATGCCACAGGGAAAGCACAAGGCAGCCATGTCACAGATGAGTAGATGGGAGAAGCTCTGCCAGTCCTCCGGTCACCAGAGCACGCCACCAGGAGGAGCAAGGAGTCCAGGCTGGGTCCTTTGGAAAGTTCTGGGCAGCAGTTCTCCAGGGGTTCCTGCACCACCAGCAGCTATTGTGCTCCTGGCCCTGCAAACTGGCAGCGAGGTCATGTGCGCCCTAATTGGCTCAGCCTGGACAACCGAGCAGCCCCACAGGATGTCCATGAGCGGTGGCCAAGAAAGGGGCAGAGCAAATGCTACCTCCCCAAGGTGGATGCTCAGAGGTGCGCTGACGCTGCATAGGAGTAATTGTCGTCCAAGACGCACTGACCAGCGCTTCTCGCACCCGCATGGGCACACACCCTGGTCCCCTCTGGTCCCGCGGCAGCTGCAGGACTGGGCGGGGACGGACTCCCTTAGAGATTCAGATACTCGCAAGTGTCCTCCTCTTCCTCAGGCCAAGGCTGGCAAGAGGAAATGTACCCCTCTAAGGGACGTGGGCGCGGCTCTGCAGGAATCATAACAGGGGTGGCATTGAAACTGATGTTGTAGGGGAGCTGAGGCAAGACTTCGGCCTGAGCTGGAGCTGGAACAGGTGCAGTGGGGACCATGGCTGGGTAGTTCTGCGCAGGGTCCCAGCAGGCCTGGTTGTAGTTGTAGACACAGGATTCTGCTTCTGGGGAGACTTGCAAATGGGTAGGTGGAGGGGAGCTGTAGAAACCTGGGCCCCCATAGTGCTGAGGGTGGTTGGGGAACACTGGCTCCTCAGGGAACACAGGCGTGGGGGGGAGCTCAGGGTCCCCCTGGAACGCAGGGCCCGCAGGCACTGGCACAGGGGCAGCTGGGTATATACCCCTGCCCTCAGGCTCAGTGGGGGCTCCCGGGTCTTGCTCCTCGCGCAGTCTCTGTAGCTTGCGTTCTTTGGCCCTGCGGTTCTTGAACCACACCTGGGGAGAGAGGGCACAGGGAGCCAGTGTGAGAGGCAAGAAGTGGAGAAACCAAGATGGCGGTGTAGATAAACAGCTGGTCTGCCACCTCGCACAACAATTTCAAAATTAAACCGAATATATGGAATATCTATCACCCAAAACCACGGGAAGGCTGGCTGAAAGAGAAAGGAGCTCAAGTGATGAAAAGCTGAGGAGCCTAGGTATGGAGGCACGTGAATTGGGCTGGTGGTGGGCGACTGGGCGGGAGGTTTTTTTTCAACCTGAAGGGAAACAAGCTCCCGATCACTTTGTAATCCAGTTTCTGGGATCATGTGGGGGACCCAGACGCCTATGGGGAGAAGCTAGTCTGTCGCCCATCGGAGGGTGACTCTCTTGCAGAGGTGTGCAAAGCAATCATTGTTCACTGCGCTGGAGCACAGGGATGTGGGGACTTGGAAACATGGAAGGGCAGAGAAGGCTGATGGCAGTCATTGCTGTTAGCCATGCCGCAGCCTAGTGATGTCCTGAGACCCTGCCCCATCCTGAGGACCCGACTCAAGGCCCCATCCTGCACATTCTACAGACCCACCCAAGGCACCACACAGCTGCTTTTGCATATAAATGGCCTGTATTGTGACAGCTTAATGAAATAAACTGTAGCTCAAGCACAGAAGCCCTCCTAGCCGAGACACTGCTGATCCTCACAGCCAATTGGCTTGGAGATCAACACATCCCAGTGATACCAACAACAAGCAAGGCTTAACAACAAGACTGCACACACAGCCCACAAAGAGCTGCACCAAGACTGTCCACCTCAGGTAACTGGGAAGGCTGTGCTACTGAGCTGTACCAGGACACCTAGCAGATAAAACTACTTCGTCAAATCAGGGAAGCAGCGAAAATGCTGAGACAAGGAAATAGATCTCAAACAAAAGTGTTGGAGAACAAAAGACTGGATATAAAGTTCAAATCCATGGTTATAAGGTTTTTCAAGAATTTCCTAGAAAAGGCCCATAAAATAAACGAGACCTTTGAGGATAGGAAAAGGGATCAACTAGAAATAAAGAATACATTGTCTGAAATAAAACAAAAATATTATACAGAGTCCTAAAAACAGAATGGAAGACCGCAAGAATCAAGTCAAAGATTTGGAACATAAAGAGCCAGAAGACACTCCTCCACAGAAGCAAGACAAGAGAATCCAGAAAGTTGAAGATAATGTAAGAAACCTCTGGGACAATTTAAAGCGAACCAACATCAGAATTATGGGGGTCCCAGAAGAAGAGAGAGCAAGATACTGAAAACATATTGGAAGAAATAGTGACAGAAAACTTCCCCCACCTGGTGAAAGAAATAGACTTACAAGTCCAGGAAGCCCACAGAACCCCAGAGAAAAGGAGTCCAAAGAGAACCACACCAAGACACATCATAATTAAAATCCCAAGAGCAAAAGACAAAGAGAGAATATTAAAAGCAGCAAGAGAAAAGCAGGTAGTTACCTATAAAGGAGTACCCATAAGATTGTCAGCTGATTTCTCAACAGAAGCCATGCAGGCCAGATGGGAATGGCAAGAAATATTCAAGGTAATGAATAGCAAGAACCTATAGCCAAAATTACTCTACCCAGCAAAGCTATCACTCAGAATCGAAGGCCAGATAAAGAGCTTCACAAATAAAAAAAAGCTAAAGGAGTTCATCACCCCCAAACCAGAATTATATGAATTGCTGAAGGGGGTTCTTTTGGAAGAGAAAGTAAATAAAGATAAAAACTATGAACAACAAATACGTAACTATCAACAAGTGAATCTAAAAGCCAAGAGAATTAAAAAATCTGATGAACAATATTAACTGGTGAATATAATAGAATCAGAGGTACGGAAAGGGAGTGGACTGACGATTCTCTGGGGAAAGGGGAGTGGGGGGTGCGGGAAGAGACTGAACATAAACTGCACCTATGGATGAGGACAATAGAGGGTGGGGAAAGGGCAGAGGGTGGGGTGGGAACCTGGTGGAGGGGAGCAATGGGGGGAGGGGAGAAACATTTGTAATAATCCGAACAAAAAGAATTTATTTTTAAAAATAAATAAATAGCCGGGACCGGTTTGGCTCAATGGATAGAGCGTCGGCTTGGGGACTGAAGGGTCCTGGGTTCGATTCCGGTCAAGGGCATGTACTTTGGTTGCGGGCATATCCCCAATAGGGGGTATGCAAGAGGCAGCTGATCGATGACTCTCTGTCATCAATGTTTCTAACTATCTCTCTCCCTTCCTCTCTGTATAAAATCAATAAAATATATTTTTAAAAAGAACTTAAAAAAAAAAAAAACACACTGCTGGAGCTCCAGCCACCAAGTCCTCAATTCAGGCAGCAAAGAGGGTGTGGACCAGCTGTGTGTTTAAAAAAATAAAAATAAAAATAAATAAATAAAGAGTATGTATGGGGCGGGGGGAAGAGGGGAGAAGCTCTGCGCTCCCACCTACACCCAGGGGTGAGGAGGCTCAGGACAGAAGGGCCGGCCTTACCGTCTCCCTCCGCCCCCAGATCCGACAATGGGCCCCGTGTTGACGTGGGCTCCTCCAGGAAAGGCGTAGGGAGCAGGAGGGGCAGGGCTTGGGCACCCAGCAAACTGGAAGGGGTCTGCGTGAGAGGGTCCCCGTGTTCCCAGAGGCCCGGCGGTCTGGGGAGAAGCTGCATGGTGTTGGCCAGTGTGTTCCACTCAGGGCTGAGGCAGACTCGGGGGCTAGGCCCCGGACCACATGGGGGACTCTGGGCAGCACTTGGTCCGTCCCTTCCCACGCCATCCTCCTTCTGCATCGCGGTGGGGCATGGATTGCGCTTGTTTGCAGCGGGAGGGGTGATTCCTGGCTGGGGGTTGGGGTTGGGGTGTGGGTTGGGACTTGGGGTTTTACCTGCACTTGATGCTCCTGCAGATTCAGCCTGGTCGCCAGGCTCACGCGTTCGTCATAGGTCCCATAGTGTTTCCTCTTAAAGAATTCCTCCAGCTCCATCAGCTGCGCCTCGGTGTACACGGTGCGCTTCTGCCGCTTCTTCTTCGGACGGGCTGGGGAAGGTGGAGCGCCTGGCGGAAGTGGGGAGACGGGATTAGAGGAGACCCACAGACAGCCCGCAGCTCACCAGGCCCTCAGGGCAGCTACCAAGCAGTGGATTAGAGCGTGTCATCTGACCCACACCCCGAGCTCCGGACCTCTCTAGGCCTCGAGTCCCCATCCCCAAAATGGGTCTGGGACCAGCGCCTGAGTTCTTTCGGGGCTCACAGCCAGACCTGGCGGGGACCTCAGACTTCACCCTGCTACCCCTCCCCCGGCTCTTTCCTCGACAGTGCCATCTCATCCTCCTGGATTCTCAGCCTCCCAGAGATGCTGGCCCTGGTCTGGATGCCCAGGACCCTCCAGCCCCAGCCCCAGGTCCCCACCTGCAAGTCCCGTGGCCGCCTCTCCTCACACCCAGCCCTCTCTGCGGGCGGACTCACCCTGGGGAGACGGCGGTTCCTGCATCTTCGACGCTACTGCACGCTCTGCACATAAGACCACACAGCCTGGAGCTTAAATAGCACTTCCTAGGGGTCCTGGGACCCACCCGTCTTTGCGTGGCATTCAGCCCCTCCCTTCTTAGCCTGGCATCCAGCCCCGCCCTACACAGAAGCTCAACGCTTTGGTCCTTTTACTGGGCCGGTCGGTCCTTTTATTGAGCAGTTGCTGCATGTGGTCCCTCTCCTGGAGGCCGGGAGACCTCAGTTTGAAGACGGCCTCCGTCCTGCCCTCAAGGGGACGCTGCATTGGTTCTGTGGGGGGACCCCCATCTCAGAAAACAGTCCCTCGAGTGGACCAGCCAGCTGCCAGTAGGTCCCTTCCATGTGGGAAGCCAGCCCGATGGTGTCACTCCGTCCCCAAACCCACTCAGCCTCCCAGAGAAGCTGGCCCTGGACTGGACGCACAAGAGTCTCCAGCTCCGGCCCCAGGACCCCACCTGCAGAGCCCTGTCTGCTTGCATTTACCCCCTCCCCAACCCTTCCTGTTGGCAGACTCACCCTTGGGAGACTCCGGTTCCTGCATCCTGGATGCCGCTGGGTTCTCTGGGCTTGAAGCTCTCACCACCAGCCCTGCGAGTGTCCCCTTAAATACCTGATAGGCACCCACAACCCACGGGCCCACCAATGGTTCCGCTAGGGACTCTTCCCCCGTCATCAGGCCCCGCCCCCCAGGCCCCGCCCTGGGAGAGGGAGGGTACAATCCTTCATTAGTCCTTGGAGCACCGGGTCCCTGTCCTGGGGGCTGGGAGACCTCAGGGGCCAAAAAAGCTTTGGTTCTGGCCCCAGGGGGACCCAGTATTGTGTCGGGTGAAAGGGTCGCTCTAATTGCCAGCCAGTGCCCCGGGGTCATCCCATCCTTTCTCGGTCCTGGGAGCTCCACCTCTCCCGCTATCCAGCCGCCTCCTTCCAGGTCCCCAACATCTACTCATTTTTCCAGTCCATCTTCCACGTCTCCCGCCCTCCGAGTCCCCTCTGGAGGTGGGAAATCTCAGACACACTGGCCCCGACTACGGTTTGGGGTCGGGCTGGTTTCCCTGTGCGGTGAAGGGGAGATGCGGGTGCAGGTAGATGGTTAGCTGATTTCCCTTGTGAATGAATGACCTGAGTGTGATCTATGTGTCACTGGTCACCCAGTCCAGGTCCTCTGAGCTGCACAGGCCCGTGTCTAATCGTTGGGCTGGACTCCCTGCTTGCCCAGGGTCTTCTGGGGACTCAGATCTGGACATAGGACAACTGGCAATGCTCATCCCTAGGGAACTTTTTTTTAGAATCCCTGGGAGAGACAGTGACCTGGGTGATGGAATGCAAAAAGGAAAGGAAAGTATGAGATCTCGTTGCTAGATTCAGCTCACGGTCTGAACTGCCTCTTCCTGTCTCAGGGTGGGGTCTCTGTGATATCTGTTTCCTGGGAGCACGTTGGTCACTGCGACAGTGGATGGCCCTGATGTCCACATGGGACAACCCAACCAATTTCTTGTTTTATAAATTGTGACCAGACGCCCCTTCTCCATGACGTCTAAAAGAAAAACAGGATAACAAGCAAAATGGTAGGTGGCACATGCTGCTGATCAGATGGGCAAAGCTGAAAAGTGGAGCCAGGCTTGGGCTTGGGGGAGGGGATGGGGAATCGGGCTTTTCCTGCCTTGTATGTGGGCTGCTTTCTGAGACAGACTTGGTGGTATCTGACTAGGCCCCTCAGCCAAAGACCATGAGTAGGACACCAGAGCAAATGTGGGTTTATTTATCATTATTTATTTGGGGCAAGGGAGTTAATTATTTTTATGAAATTTTTAACTAAAAATTTTATTGATTGACTTAAGAGAGAGAGGAGAGAGAGACATCGATTTGTTATTCCACTTATGTATACATTCATTGCTTGATTCTTGTATGTGTTCTGACTGCGTATCCAACCCACAACCTTGGCATAAATGGACAACTCTAACCACCTGAACTACCCCGTCAGCCAATGTGGGTATACTGTCTCATTGCAATGAGGAGGACACAGCCATGAAGAGCCTAGAGGCATCTCAGTAAGAGAATGTTTGAAAATACCTTTATAGGATTTAGGTTTATATGGGACGATTTGGGGGAAGGTTCAAAGAGTGACTTTTAGGCCCACCAAAATCATAGTCAGGAACACACACAGACTTTCACACCCACACTCATGGCAGTATGGTTCACAACAGGCAAGAAGTAGACACCTAATGTTTTGGTTGTGTTGGAAGTCTGAGTGTTGGGAAGCCCTGGAGGTCCTTCCCATTGTCAGCTGCTTGTCCTTGGGCAAAGATTAAGGTGACCAGATGTCCCGATTTTGGCGGGACAATCCCAATTTTTAACCATTTGTTCTGCATCCCTCAGCGTTTTAAAAAACTAGCATTAGCAGAAGGACTTACGTCTTTTCATGCTATTAACATATAGACCAAATTTTTAATCAAGAACGCCCTCCCCTTCCCCAGGTCAATGGTGTCCCGCTTTACCAATGTTAAAATCTGGTCACCTTAGCAAAGATCCTCCCAGCCAGGCTTGGCTTTCCCCACCCTTACTATGGATTAAGTCTACATCCGGCTTCACACCTACCCGGAAGCTGACATCAGCTCAGGAGAGAAAGGGTCCCAGCGGCTGAGAGAACTTCCCTTGCCTCCCAGGTTTGTGCCTGGGGCAAAGGCAGAGCTTCTCAGCCCTGCAGGAGAAGCTGGTCAAACATTAATCCAATCTCTCACCACAGCAATTTTCACAGGCCGGTGGGTATCAGAAACCCCCAGAGGGCTTCTTTCCTAGATTTAGTAGGTTTAGGATGGGGCTCCAAATTTGCATTTTTTTTTGAAAAATATTTTATGTATTGATGAGAGAGAGAGATTGAGAGAGAGAAAGAGAGAGAGAGATTCAAGCATTTTTCTTAAGTGTGAGGCACTATTCTAAGTGTTTTATAATTATTCACTGGGGTCTTACCAGCTGCATCCCCTACCCTCAGATCCTCCCTTTATCATGACACCCTCCTCTATGGACAGGCTCTCTATCTCTCAGAGATTCTTGTGGCCCCATCATTCCATTCCACATCAATTTTCTTTCTACTTTTGCGCCCTCCGAACTCTTCCCTTCTGTCCCCAAACTATCTACTCTTCATATTCCAATATTGGTTTTAAGATCATTCTTCCATCCATCCATCCATCCATCCATCCATCCATCCATCCATCCATCCACATATCTTTGCACTATCTACCCATCTATCTATCTCCCCGTTAGTTCTGAGAACAGAGGTTTCTTGAACCAAACTTGAGGAGCAAAAAGAAAAGCAAGGATGAGTAGAAACAAAGATGTTACCACACAGGGGACCTGGCCCTGAGCGAGTCTGCTCAGGGCCAGCAGTAGTATGGACTTCGTGCAGGAAAGATTCACAATACGAGCCCAGGTGGTTATGAGAGTTTGTTTATTAAAGATGGTGGACAGTGAAACAAGGAAAAACTTAGCATAGAAGCAGCAGAAGAGCCTGGGCTGGGATGCTTTGCTTCACTGGGAAGTCAGAGAAAAGGGGTTCTTGAAGTTAGGTTCAGTGGATTAGCCTGGGACAAGCTGGCACTGCCCACTTCTCCCCTGGTTGCAAGTCTTGTGGGATACCTTAGAGTTCAGGAAGTGCACATCAGTGTGGGAAGAGAAGGAGAATGGAAAGGGAAGGAGAGTGTTTAGGGGAGGTCTAAGGGGAGGTGTGAATAGAATATTCATTAGCTTTTCCAGGTGTGCTCTTGCAGGATCCTGGTCTCCACTGATTGATCAGCACCAGAGCAGGAGGTCATTAGTCATTGCAACCGGTGATGGCTGCTTTTCTGGGCCTAAAACTGAAATACAACTGAGGCCTAGATGTTATTTCTAGGGAGGTGACCTTCTGGATCTGTTATAAATTACTCCACCAGTTTGTTCAGTTATCTGTCCTTCCCCATTCCACTTGCCAAGGAATTTTTCTAGTTTCTTCTTTCTTTCTTTCTTTCTTTCTTTCTTTCTTTCTTTCTTTCTTTCTTTCTTTCTTTCTTTCTTTTAAAAAAAATATATTTTATTGATTTTTCTTACAGAGAAGAAGGGAGAGAGATAGAGAGCTAGAAACGTCCATGAGAGAGAAACATCGACCAGCTGCTTCTTGTACACCCCCTACCAGGGATGTGCTCACAACCAATGTACATGCCCTTGACCGGAATCGAACCTGGGACCTTTCAGTCTGCAGACCGACGCTCTACCACTGAGCCAAACCGGTTTCAGCTTTCCTAGTTTCTTACTATCCTGCCTCACAAAGAGGACATAGGTACAATTTTGCTCCTAAATGAACAGTTTGCATCTAGGAGAGCATCTGAGAAGCTAAGAGGGGTAGCCCTGTGGGAGGACAACTGTAGGCGGGGAGAACTTTCACAGCTTTCATGACCGGTTCCACACAGTGAGGTTATTAATGATCAAATCTATATTAAATAAAACAAGGCCTGTACTCTTTTTGGAAAATGGGTTCCACTTTCTGATCTCTCTGGGAATAAGGCACTCTTCCTCCCAAGTTCATCTGAGCCTCCAGTTGACACCATGGAAATTAACCCTTTTTCCATGTACTGTTCTGTGCTTCAGGTTTTCTCTGAAAAATGGCCCACCATATGGGTCTCTTTTTGTCCTCCATGGAAAAATTGGCTTCAGCCTCATCTTCAGAGAAACATAAAATAAATAAATAAATAAAAAGGGCTGTTGCTGTGTAGCTCAGATGGTTAGGTCATTATCCCTATACACCTAGGTTTCAGGTTCGATCCTAATCAGAACATATACAAGATCAACCAATGATGTATAAATAAATGGAACAACAAATCAATGCGATTCTCTCTCCCCTTCCTCTTTCTTTAAAAAACAAAACAAAACAGTAAAAAAAAGTAAACAAATAAATAAATATTTCAGTGAAGGATAACATTGGTTGAGAAAAATGTACAGATTGATAGGTTATCAGAAAGTGAGCACAGAATATTTTCAGCAACACCAAAGCTCCCTCATGGTAGCTTCCTTTCTTGACCAAAGGTAATCATTATCCTGCTTTCTAATACTACAGATTTATTTTGCCTGTTTATGAACTTTACATGTATAGAACCACAGACAGTGTCTTCTTTTGTGTTTGCTTTCTTTCATTCATCATGGTTTGTAAGAGTCATCCCTCTTGCCTTAGCAATGGTCTGTTTGTGTGTTCTGATGTCAGTGTAGTTTGCCATTACATGATATAGCACCATTAATCTATCCAGTCTCATTGGTTCTGGTTTGGATTATTATAAACAATGATGCTATGAACATTCTGACACACACAAAAAATATGTATACTAGAGACCTGGTGTACAAAATTCGTGCACGGGGGAGTGGGGTGTCACTCAGCCCAGCCTGCACCCTCTCCAATCTGGAACCCCTTGAGGAATGTCCCACTGCCCATTTAGGCATGATCCCGAAAAGATCAGGCCTAAATGGGCAGTTGGACACCCCTCTCACAATCCAGGACTGCTGGCTGACAGCTACTCACTT